GAAGGTGAACTAGTCTGCATTAAGTACTCTGGGTGGGAGCAAGACTTGGGAATTGCTCTTAGTTTTATTTAATACCTGAAAAGATATCTGTTTAAACGTTTGCAGGGATGGCTCCTTCTCTCTTGCCTCGTACCCTCTCACTAAAGAAATGCATACCAAATCAATTTTTGTGTCTTTATCCTGTTTCTTCCCCTATAGACCCATAGAGCAGTTTAGAAAGAAATGGAAACCCAGCCCTGGCTCTAAATTGATTTGGCTACATTTGATACACTCTTCCTTCCTAGAATATGACTTTTCAGCTGTAATAGCCCAAAAGATTGCTTTTCACACCTCTTTCGTTTTTATGATCCCTTTCAAAGACTTCTTATGTTGTTCATAGTAGAACTGGCGGCCAGGTTTCTGCAATCTCAGAAGTAACCAAGCCAGAAGTGTCAAGACCTCATCATGAGATGGAGGGCCTGATGCATTTCTTTGTATGGGAAGACAAGGGCGCTCCCAACCCCTGTTACACAGGTGGATTTGGGTTCAGAGAAAAGAAAAAGAAGGAATCTGGCCTCCTACTGGGACCAGAGTCCAAATTACAGCTGTGTCTTTGACATGATCTGGGTTCACAAGAGGAAACGCAGAACTGGAAATGAGATGCTGATGACTGAGAGGGAGGTGCAGGCTCAGAGTACCCAGTGCTGTAGGCATCAGAGATGAGAGCGAGGACCGCTAGAGCGGGGACCTCAGGCTAGCTCGGGGACCACAGGCTGGGGCTGTCCAGCTGGGTTGTCCAGACCCCAAGGTTCAGGCATTAACCCCATTCAGTGAGTCAGTTGTATATGTGAACTCGGGGATCGTGAGAGAAGTGGCCTCTGGAAGCAGCGTGGTTGGCATCCCTGTTATGCACAAGCTGGAAGTACCTGAGCGCTTAGAAAGCCTGTATGAGTCTGGGTTCTGCAGAAAAACAGAACCAATAGAAAACTGTATGTGTCCATTCACCCACCCATCCATTCACCCACCCATCCATTTACCCATCCATCTACCCACCCAACAATCCACTCACCCATCCATCCACTCACCCATCCATCCACTCACCCATCTATCCACTCACCCATCCATCATCTAGAGACCCAGGAGAATCAGTGCTTCAGTTCTAGTCAAAATGCAGACGTTTGAGACCCAGGAGAGCCAGGGGTGCAAGTCCTGAGCTGAGTCCTGATCCAAAAGCAGAGGGCCAGTGTTCCAGCTTGAAGACAGCAGCTATGGAGAATAAACACTTTCCTATTCCTCTCTTTGTTCTGTCCATGCCTGTGACGCTGAAAGGGACTACCCACACTAAGAGGGTATGCCATTCTTCTTGGTCTCCAGTTTCGGGACGCAGCAATCCCTGTACACAGGGACTTACATCTGGGTACCCATAACCGAGTCAAGGTTTCACCTGAGTGCGTCTTAAGTGCGTACACTGTACTCTAGCCTGACTGCAGTAGGAACAACCAGGGCAGCTGCTGCTGAGGACTGTTTGAAATGAGCACTCCCCCTCCTCCTCCAAATCCTCCCAAGAGCAAACATGTCAGAAACCATTCTGGGAACTCACTCTTCCCTCCAGGCTGTGACCACTTTGTTCCAAAGCATTAGCAGAATTTGACGGATGGAGAGGAGGTGTGTTGGGGTTTTAAGAAAACAGATTCTTGAGAGGGGATTTGAGCAGTCCTGTACACAAGTTATTTTCCATGCCTCCTAATACCTACATCAGCCCACTCCTTAAATGGGCCTGTTTATCATCATCATCACGGAGGGACACAAAGAGAAGGCTCTGCAGAAAAATGGCCTGGACTGGCAATTGATCCACCAAGGGATAATTTGAAACAAAGACTCTGAGATCTAGCAGGCCTAGAAATTACTATCTTGCTCAATGGGATTAGTTGTCCAAATGAAGAATATTTTCTTCTTGCAACATCCTGACTTCTGATGGCTCTTTTCACTGCTTGTCCCTTCTGCGCCCGTGGCTGGATCCCTAGCCAGCAACACTGCAGATTGTCAGCTCCGCACCAGGCTTAGGAAAACAGCCATGTCATCTGTGGTTAAATGGAAGCAGAGGGCTGCAGGGGCTATGACTTAGAGAGAAGGAATGAGAAAGAATGTTGTTCATGAGGAAGGTCTCTCATCTTCCCGTCGTAATTTTCATGAAGTTCTCGTCATTTTTTGATTAGCCCAGTGATTTTCCTGATAGATTAAGTCATCTTGTCTGATGAGTCTTCAGCCCTCCCTTGACTAGTCTCACCTTCTCTGGAGGAGAACAGCTTTGTGGCTAAAGACAAGGTGTGGCAAGATGGAGGACCTCCAAAGTTAGCAGTGCTGATGCTTGGTAGCAAGGGTGACAAACTAAAAACCATGTATTAGGGGAGCACAGATGACCCAGGCAAGGTGCAGCATGGACCTGCCCTGTCCCTGTGTTGAAGAAGAGCCCAAAGACATTGGGGTTGCAGAAAACTAAGGAGCTGTGAATGGTGGCATACACCTTTAATCCCACACTCGGGAGGCAGAAGCAGGCAAATATCTGTGGGTTTGAGGCCAGCCAGAGCTACAATGTTTCCTGAAAAGAAAAAAAAATGAAACCAGGATTAAGGATCATAGTCTACAGGAAAGTGAGAGAGAGTGCGGCAGGAAAGGATGTCACACCTGTCTGTGACGTGCATGGGCTCCTGGCCACTGGTGGTCCTGCGTGGTGGTGGGGAGGGATGGTTATCTAATGGGTCTAGCAGAATAGTTGTTACAAAATTCTCTCCATCCATTCATACCACCCTTTACCCACACATCCATTCATCTATCTACCCATCTATCCACCCACTCATATGTTTATCCATTTATACACGTATCTATCAATCTACCCATCCACAGACCTGTTCACCTCTCCATCTACTCATCCATCCATCCATCCATCCACTTATGCATGTCCATCCATTCACACATCTGCCTACCCATCCACCAGTTGACCTGTCCATCTGCCTCCTTATTCATGTACCCATCCATCCATTTGCCCATGCACACATCTAACCACCCATCTCTACATCTACCTGGCTGATCATCTGTCACTAATGTGCTTGTGGAAATGGTCACCACACACAACACACAGCGCTGGATGCCGAGGAGATGAGGAAGGTTGATTGCCCTGCTTAGGCTTTCACAGACCAGACAAGGATGCAGATAAGTAGTCTAGCAGTTCTGGTCACAGCAAGGAAAACCTTGAGGGGTGAGCCCAGGCTACCCTGATGGGAAAAGGGGCTTCCTGTGTATATCCTGAGAATGCTTGAATTATGAGAAATGTCCTTCCTTCAGTCAAGGGTGTGGCAAGACCTCCCTTCTGTTTCAGTGGAAGGTAAGTATCCCCTGCACCTCTGGGTTTAGGTCTCCTCTCTGCCCATGTCTGGGTAGCAGCAGCTTACTGGAATGTCCCCCTCAGCCACCCTATTCTCCACTGTGTTTCTTTGTTGTGTGAAGATTCTTAGATCTCCGTTGCTTAAAAAAATTTTTTTAGTAAGGGCAGCCTCTTATTGTGCATCAAGGTGACCTGGAACTTCCTACGTAACTCAGGCTGGCCTCAAGCTCACAGTAATCTCCCCTGAGTAGCCTCTAGAGTGCTGGGATCACAGGCTCCAGCCACTGTGACTGGCTTTATCTTAACATTTTAATACAACGATAGTAAAAACTCTGCTTAACCCTCTTTCCAGGGAAGCTACTTCCCTGTGTTCTGTTCACACTGGACCTCCTGAGAGAGAAGACCACACTTACTGCCAGTGTTCCCTCTTTAGACATCAGCAGACAAGTTTCACCTTGTCCCGTCCGGTGTCCAGGTAGTGGTCACAGTGTCCTCTGTCTTTAGCCTTGGATGCTCTTGGCCTGCGCCTGCCATGCCCACCTTCCTTTCTGGCTGGCGTGTCCACGGGACTCAGCTGGAGGCCTTCCAGAGGCGTCCCCATCCTCTGGGATAGTACACTCCTCACGCCTTCTGCGGCTCCCGCTGTCACACATGGGCCCCGTTCTGACACAGTTAGAGAGAGACTGACTCCATCAGAATGTCCTTTTCAAAGGACCTACCATGGGAATGTGCGTCCTTCCAGACTTAAGGAAGTCATGACTCATGACTCCCTTCACCCCGGAAGCACCTGATGATCTGAACATGCAGACTTGAAGCAATCCCGTGACAACTTTCCAGTACCCTCCTCAGGACAGGACTGTTGGTGCCTGGACCAACAGTTGCTCTGATGCAGTACCCCACTTGCTCATGCTTCAGGACTGTAATTGGGGATGCTGCCCCCGCCACTGCCTTCCTTCTTAGTTGCCCCTCCCTGTAACTCCATCATCTCTTACTGATGGGGAGTTACTGCTCCCCATCATCTCTGCACAGAGGGAGCCTGACACTGAGTTTTGGACTGTACCTCCCATGCTGAGAGGCTCATAGCACAGTGAAGGCCAGTGGGGAGGGAGCGTGAGTCTCACACAAGCACACAGGGTGATGGGTGTCACCGATAGCTGGGGACCTTTAGCAATACGGGGTGCTAAAGAGAAGTGGCTACCTCATGAGTTCAGCATCCAGGCAGCATCTGGAAGCAGGTGAGTTTCCAGGAGCCCGGGACTATGCGCTGTCCTCCACATCTGAGAAGTCCCAGCGGGCTGTACTGGGAGCTGAAGATGGGCACACCATCTCCATCTCCATGGAGTTATGCATGCTGGTTCCCAATACCTGCTCAGTGAGGATCTGTGGGTTGGCTTTCCTTACTTTATAGCAGATGTCTGTTTGGACCTTGGGCATTTCCGTGCCTCCCCATTGAGGGCACATTTGGGACATTATGCAGGTAGAAGCTGTATCTCCCTCCTCCTTGGCCTCTCCTAACCAATGGAATGAAAACTAACAGGTTTAGACTCTTAGTTTCGTTCATAAGGTTGGGGTAGCCCAAGGCACAGAAATACAGTTCCTGGAGAAGTATTCAAGGCACTTTCTCTCTGTGTCAATGTAGGGTTGGATGACGTTGACGTGTGTGGTGACCCAGGCGTTCCAGAGAATGGCTTCAGGACCCCCAGTGGAGGAGTCTTCTTTGAAAATGCTGTAGCCCGATTTCACTGCCAAGACGGATTCAGGCTGAAGGGCTCTACAAAGAGACTGTGTATGAGATATTTTAATGGGACCCTAGGCTGGGTCCCAAGCGACAAAACCGTCTGCATACAAGAAGGTAAAGGGCCCGCTCCTCTGCGGAGCCAGGGGTGTGCCAGGCGGGCGGGGATGAGGGCGGGATGCTCGGGAGGCGTCTGTCCCAGGGCTGGCCTAGTCTACAAGACGAGTTTGCACGGTGCCCTTCCTCTGTCAGTTACGATTGTCGCCATTCAGTTTATCACCATTCTGACTGGGGCGACAGAGCACTCAGGTTACACACGGCCCTTTGATATCAGGCTCCCAGCTCAGCACTGTCTCCCATGGTCCTCGGTGGAGAGGCAGGAAATATTTTTTTTGTGCAGAAGTTGGTGATTGATATAAAAGGTAGGAAGTGACCCAGAATCAAGTCAGCTACTGCTTTTACGCCCAGTGTTTGGTGTGACTCCTTCAAGAAGGAGCTGCGACAGGGACTGTGGGTTGGCACAGGTGTCCGCCCTTTCTAGCAGTGACCCTGAATCTATTGCTAATGCAGAAACGCTCCTGGGCTTCCGGCAGCTCGCCTACGGCTGCTGACTGCGGCCCTCTCTCGTGCTCCCTTGTTTCATTTTGCTTTGTTTTATTTTTGCTCTGTAGACAATGTTTAGAGTTATGAAAAATGAATTGTTTAATTAATTGGAGTGCTAAGAGATTGATTATGACTCTCCCAGGATCAGTGAGGCTGAAGTTGGAATAGGCACAGATCGGAAATTAACTCAAACCTGTAACCTCCAGGAGGCACAAGCCTGCCCTGTTTCTGCTCCGCTAATATTTGAGCTGGTTAGGAGCCGGCTTCCGTTTCTCTTCGTTATTGAGGTTATTTGGGGAGGAAGATTTTATGATAAGATATAAAGGATCACTGTGATGTAATAATGTGTATTTCCTTAATGAAACTTTAAAAAATTGCAGATGTGCATATGTGTCTGTGAGTGAGGATACGTATGTGAAGGTCAGAGGTGTTGGATCCCCTGGAGTTGGAGTTACAGGCCAACCCGCCAACATGGGTGCAGGGAACGGAACTCAGGCCCCCATGAGCAGTGTGTGCTCTTCCCCACTGAGTCATCTCTCCAGCCCCGCTTTATGAAACTTTTAGACTGATTTAATCTGACAAGCACTTTTTATTATGCCTTTTCTTATGGAGATTGGGAAGTGTGAGCAAGAATTGGTGTCTTCCTCTTAAAGTCCCTGCTAATAAATTCACTATTCCCTCTTGCATGGGTCCTGTGTGAGCTGTGCTCCCTGTGAAATTCTGTTGAACTAGAGGTTTAATTTGTTCATGTCTGCACACCCTGCCAAAGCCCGTGGCCTGAGAAGCCCTGTACCCAGGAGTATGAGAGGACAAAGGAGAACAAAGGCCCAAAACGTTGTCCAGAAATGAAGGCCTTCTCTCGTTTCATCTTCTTGGGGCAAAACAAAAGCAGTTTAGAATCTTTAAAGTGAGTGCCAGTGCCTGTGTGCTGCGGAGATAATTCCAGCTGTTGAGCAATCTCCTTGGTTGGGGGCTTCTCCAGCGCCAAGACACGTGGAGAAGGTACAGCATGAAGTGCTGTCTCATGTCTAGACTCAGCACTCCTATCCTACCACCCGAAACCAGACCTTGACTCTAAAGGACAGTCCAGATCTCTATACTGGTCATGGTGGTGAGTGTTCAGCCGTGTTTGTGAATGCTGGGAAGAACAGACCACCGGCTTAGGTATAGTGGTATGTTTATTTCAACTCAGTGGAGGCACCACTGATCTTTGGGAAGTTTTCGTGCAGAGGTGGCTGTTGGGCCTCACTGGTGGAAAAGGTCATTGTTGATGTCCTTGGTGATCTTTGTTTATTGGGGGTGGGGTCCAGGGATTGAGCCCAGGACCTCAGGTGTGCTAGATTAGCACTCTGACACTGAGTCATCTCCCTGGCCCTTTATTCAGGGACTGAGCCCAGTCCCTGAATACACGGTGGAGATTTTTTTCCCTGCTTTGTAAATAACAGGCCGAGGGCTTCACGTTTGTGGTGGGTGGTTAATAAGAGCTGGCGGATTAATTTGCTGCCCTTGCAGGAAGGCTGAGAAAGTTTTGTCGTGGAGATAGTGGTGGTTTATTTCAGAATCACCCTTTGGCAGGCATAACTAGCCTATGAGATGAGAGTACGTTCTCGTTTCCTGTTAGGGTGGCTGAGACTCAGAGAGGCTCACTCACCTCCTCAAGGTCACACAGCTTATGAGGAAGTAACGGAACTGAAGGTAACCCTAACTTTTTGGGGACCAGTAGGGATTGCTTCAGCTCTACAGAAAGCCAGCAAGACAGAGGAGGTGGAGAAACAGACTTGCTGAAGGACAGCCCTCAGGGCAACTAAGGCAGCTTCTCCATCGTCCAGGGCTCACTGTTGCAGAGAGCCTTTCTGGGGCACAAGAGGACACAGTGAGATAGAAGTAAACGGCCTCAGCTCTGTAGGGGCTTTCTTCCTCAAAGTCCGTCTGGATGTGGAGTAGCATCTGTATTTTATCTGCGGTCAGCCAGTCCGTATGTCCATGTAGAGAAATGAGGGCTTCAGAGAGTGCCAGGGAGGGGAGAGGGGCTGGTGGGTACAGTGCCCGTTCTCCCAAATCATGTGCTTTGTAAGCTTGCTGTTCTAGACATTCATCCACGCTTCCATGTTTGCAGTGTAAACATGGCTTCTACCTGCGGTGTAAACATGGCTTCTACCTGCGGTGTAAACATGGCTTCTACCTGCCCTGTCACGCCAAGCCAGTATGCGTTTCCTTGACAGGGCTGTGACTGACCTTTATTGTGTCGAAAAAGCCCACTCTAATCAGGCATAAGAGCAGCACATTGTGACAGTGAGTGACACAATCCAAGTTGGAGTTGGAGGGACTCATGGGAGTCTCCTAATTTAAGCACTGTTTGGCAGACAGAGACACCAAGCCTCTGAGAAGGAAAGAGATCCCTGGCTTCCCATTCGGGTTTAGTGACAGATGGACCAGATCTGGCCTGCCTCGGGGGGTGGGAGGGGGGTTCATCACTGTGACCCCCACACACACTGCTCTCCTAGTCCTTTACCCTGCTTGCCAGCTCTGTCTAACAAGCATTTGTTTGTTTGAGACAGGGTCTACTGTATCCCAGGCTGGCCTGGAATTTGCTATGTAGCCAAGGATAGCCTCGAACTTTTGATCCTCCTGCCTGCACCCCAGAAGTGCTGGGAGCACAAACGTGCACCACCACGTCTGGGCTGAGAAGCAGAGTCTAAACCATTGAGCCCCCTTGACTCCTGGTGCCTACCAGCTGCATTGTTTCTGCAGAAGTGTTGACATGATTACCTGTGCAACAAACCAGGCAAAAGTCCTTGGGGGCAGGCCCTCGGATCCACACCTCCTTACACTGTACTCTAGAGGTGTATTTTAAAAGTAAAATACCCAAGGAACTAAAGTAAAATCACCTGGGTTCCTCTCCACGCTATGAACACTTTCCAGGTCCGCTGATGGTGAGCATTACTGGAAACTTGTCCTTGATGAAGCATCTGCTACTGCTGGGCTACAGGTCACCCTTATACATTGGTTATTCCAGCTAGACAAGGGTTTTGCCTTTGCGTTTCAGAGAACTTAATCATCAGTTGCAGCCAGTTAGTTCCTGCATTTTCAAGTCTCCCTTAGACTGTGAGCCAGCACTGCACAGCCCCGAAGTCTCTTAGTCGTCTTGGCCCTAGGAAGGGTGTTTATGAAGCTTTTAAAGTCAGAAATTCCTAGCAGGACCGTCATCATCTGGGTTGGTTCGGGGTGTCCTCAGAGCGTCTTCGGGTGTAGTCTTTTCTCCTTTAAATGCCCCTATGTGGAGTAGCTGCTCTGGGAAGTAGACACTTGAGCACTGCAAGCTTAAAGTTTCATGAAATTACTGTTTGATTCTTCCTTAGCAAGCTCTCCTCAGTGGGGGGAGGGGAACTTTCCATTCCCTACCCAGCCAGCTTCCTTGAGCATTTGGAGAACAGCCCCTGGCCTCCTTGGCCAATACATTTCATGTCAGTTTCTAATAAATACATAGTAAGAAGAAAAAGTGTGTCCATGACCCTGGAGTCCCCCAGCTCTGGCAGACAGCTTGGACGGCTTGTTCTAGTGTGTCCTCCCTAGCAAGTGCCCAGATGGTTTATGAGGACAGTGGCACTCCTCTTAATCCCAACAGGATGCTCTAGGAGACCTTCCATGTCCCTCCACAGAGCACCCCTTGTTTCAGGTGACCTGTCTGAGAGAAAGACTTTTCCGGGCAGCGATTCCTCTCCTGTTGACCAGCCAGCCCCTCCCAGCTGAAGAGGAGTAGGAAAACATTGCTTAAACCACACAGGAAATGCAACCCCAAAGTACTGCCTACCCAGAACCCTCTGCCCCCAGCATCACCACAGCCTCCTGCCCAAAACAACCTTCACTGCTATTTCAGGAACAAAGCTCAAGGTGACAATTGGGGCCACTGTCTGGAAGGAGTGTGTGACACTGGGACATTTTGTAAAAATTATTTTGTGTTGGGATTGCACGTATGTCTGGTATGTCTGTTTGACATGTGTGTGCAGTGCCCTGTGAGGCGGGAAGAAAGGTCAGCTCTCCTGGAACTTCAGTTACAGATGAGTGACTGTGAGACATTGTGTGCTGCTGGGAATCCAACCTGGGTCCTTTGCAAGAGCCCTTGGTGCTCTTAACAATGAACCACCATTTCCCGGGCTCCTCCAGAGTTTTGTTCCTTAGAGAGCAACCTCATTCCTGTTCTGGTGACTTCAAAGGCAGGGATCTCTCAGTCTGGAAGACGCCACGGCAGGTGGTGTGCTGTTACACCCTGCAGGTGTGTTGAGATGCTGCTGTATGTTCGCAGTCTGCCTATCTGAGTAGCCAGCTCTCATCTCTGAGGTGTGAAAGGGGGACCCGGGGTTCGGGCAACTCCCGCTTCCTCCACGTTCTTGTTAGACAGGGGCAGTGGTCTTCTGCAGCCTCCTGCCTCTGAGGCTCCCCACCAGCCTTCCACAGGTGGCCTGGGGGTGATCGGTGTTCTCATAGGTGTCCCTGTGAATAGTCACACTGAGCTC